TGGGCAACCAAAGATCTTTTTAGGACACTTACTGTAAGTATTTATGAGTATTTATGTAAGGTAGCAGCAGGGCTTCAAAATCTGGCAGTGCCTAGAATTCACAGGCCTCAAATCTGCTACACAATTAAGATCTGGGGTTAGATTTCTTTTTAGGCATTTACATAACTTCAGAAAGTGCTTTGCTCAGAGCTGTCAGTCAGAGAGGTTCAGCATAATTTCTAAAACATTAGGGAGTTTCACACCCAATGTACAGCAATCTGTTTGGATCCGAAAACTAGAACATGCTGTAGTAAACATTTTTTTTCCTGATCTCATTTCATGTAATTGGGCAGGAAAACTGAGGGATCAGAGGCTTGAATCCTGCCTGGAAGAACAGCAATGGGCAGGGAGGGTGCTGCATGGGTCACAGTACTGGATTGTGACTCCTCAGCTCATCAGACCAATTCCCTCTACCTTTCTTCACCCCCTTCGCAATCTGATGTCCCCAGCTTGTCATTGAGCAGCAAGTTAACCCAGAGAACTTCAGAGATTTGTTTAATGCAACAAAAGCTTTTGTCTTGTGAATATCAGGCTTAAATAGTTTAATGGATATATACACTCTGGAAATCATACTCAGTCTTCCAGAGCTTTAGAGTAGCTCCTTGGAATCCATCAGTAGAAAGGTTGGGAGTTCCTAAAGAGAGAGGTACTTAGCTGCACTTTCTTTGACCAAGACTCCTCTCTCTTATGATTTCCAGTGAGTTCCTGCTCTCATATTCTAAAGGTAACAGCAAATTTCTAGGAAAGAAAAAAATCACTAAACTTTTAAGATTGTATTAGTGTAAATAACATAAGTATAAATATTCACCATAGAAAATAATTTCCTGGCTTCCTCAGTTTCCTTCCATGGAAACCCTCTTACACCACACGGTGCTTTATGTATATGCAAGAGAAAAAACATCCAAGGTGGAGAGCCCAGGGGCCCTGCTGATGCCATGGGGCCCCATCCCTTGGGCTGGGCAGGGCAGAGCCGCTGCCCCGGGAGCTCTGCACAGCCTCCCGGAGCCCCGGCTGCTGCCGCACTGCTCACCCGGGCAGGTCCTGCACAAACCTCCCTCCCAGCAGCGAGCACTGCAGCACTGTCTGTGCCCAGGCACCCCTTGTGCCTCCCTCAGAGCCACAGTACGGCAAAGCAGTGCCCACACTCAGCAGCGCACCCTGAAACGAGGGGCCGCGGCATGGGACGAAGCCAGGGGCCATGGCACTGGCCTTGAGCATGTAGTTTTCTGCTGTTTTCCTGGGGGATCAGGTTGTATCTGCTCGTGACAATAATCCTGACCACTGAAGCTTCCTGAGCTCCCAAATGTCCTGGCCCCAGGTGACCCCACCTGGGCCTCTGTGAAACCCTTCCACCCACCACATGCACCTTGTGCTCAGCAGCTCCTTGTACCCATTAACCTTTAGCACCGTGCACAGGGCTGTTGTCCTGCCAAGAACTTTTCCTTCCATAGGAGACCCATTTTTTCCCCCTTTTCTCCCTTCAGCTTAAAGAAATAAAAGGAAATAAGGGAAAATAAGGGGATTATGAAATTAAATTTACCGTCTACACACTTCCATGGGGGAAAGCATTCTCACCCAGCACCACTTAAACTTCCAGGCTGTTGTAAAGGTACTGTGCTTGACCCTGGGGAGCTGATGGTACATTTCATACTGCCAGCTTACCACAGCACCTAACTCTGGGCAACGCTGGAATACTGCAGAGATTCTGTTCACGTGTGCCTGCACATACAGGTGCACACCTGACTGCAAAACACAGCTGTATTCTTAAAACAAACATGCTCAAATCACATCATATTAACAGAGTATCTTTTGGCTTGAAAAAAGAGTCACCCATTTTATATCCCTTATCAATCATGATATCTAAATTTGGAGCATCCAGGTATCATACTCACTGATTTCTCAGTCAGCCTCCTGCATTTTCACTTTGACAGTATTTTTCAACCCAAACACTGAGTGGAAGAGCAAGTCATGATCCGACACATTAAAAACAAGAGCAATTGCTCATGTACCCTGTGCAGCAGAGCTGCCATTCCACTGGGGAAAGCCTGGCAGCCTGCAGCTCTTGTGCAGGCAAGATTCCCACAGAGGGGAGCATGATTGCATGTTCCTAACACCATCACACCAGCCTTGCTTTTTGGGGACAGGCTTTTCTGCATGGACAGCACTTGGGTATTTTGTTGTAAAAGAGGAGAAATGGCTAAAATACCAAACTTCCCAAAAGCTGTCAATAATAATAAGAATAATAAATCAGCACGTTTTTGTTTTCTATATAAGGGTATGTTGAACTATCAAAGGATGATAGATCTCTCTCTTCCAAAGAGAGCCAGGTGATGGCTCTTCCCATATCTCAGATTAGACTGGGATATTCATATCCTTCCTACTGCTTGTGCTACATATGTATGCTTTAATGTCCTTTTTGAAATGCTGCAAGTGAGGCTCCAATTGAGGTGGCCCAACCCTCAGAGCAGTTTCAGCTGATGCTCATGTAACATCACAAACTCAGCAGGGCTGCCCTGCCTTTAGACTGCTTTGAGAAACTTTGGCTCCCATTTTTCATGCTGTCCCGTCTTTCTCCCACTTGCACCTTGGCACAGAGAGCAAGAAGAGCGGCACAGGCTGTAGCGTGCACGTATGCTTAGTTCCCTGAGCACAAAACAAAGATGCAAGAGCCTGGAGCAAGGATCTGTCCTGAAAGAGGCTGGTATGGAATTTGTCACCAGATACAGGAAGCTGCAGATTTTTTTTGATTTTTTTTTTACATGCAGGAACTCTGAATTAAAATTTCTAGAACAAGCGCAATCTAGTAAAGATTGGATCATCCTTTTCATCATTGTTTTCATCTCCTGAATCCTTGCAATGGCATTTTGGAAAGAGCTTCTCTGAGAGACAAAGAGGTTTTGTCCTGGAGAGCCACTTCCCAGCAGGGCAGATCTCCTCCTGTCACCCCCAGGCAGCAGATCCATGCCACCCCACGTCCTGGCTTCCCCTGACCCTGTGCCCAGAGGACCCACTGCAAAACACTTCAGCAATTCACACAGGCTTCAGCATCTGCCCGAGTCCAGACATCCAAGCACCAGCAACAGCAGACATTGCAATGTTTAAATTTGCTAACAAATAAAACAAGCATGGCAGCAATGTTCCAAATGAAAGGTAAAACTCACAGTTGGAGCAGGCTTAGGGCGGTGGCCCTGTGCACATTGCAGACTCCATCCTGCTGAGAGGGGACGTGGCAGCTGCCTGTTCCTCTCCTGTGGGGGTCAGCTCGGACCTGCCTGAGGCAGAAGGGATGCCACAGAGCCTGGCCATCCCCATGCCACCAAGGCAAGCCACAGCTGTTCCTGCCATCATTGGCTGCTGCATTATTTCCAGCCATTAAAGCATTGCTCTGCAGGCTTGGATTTTCATGTCAGAATCTAGGAGTTACAGAATAACCCTACAAAACAAATTACATGGATGAGACCCTCTTTCTCCACTAGGGCAGAAACACTTTTGACCCCCATTTGTCCTCTAGCAGTCTTTTCCTACAGGTGAGTGGTTCACAATGCTTCACCACAATTAACTATGACCATGGCTTTTAGTAGCAATTTGTTTTCAATTACCTCCTTCAGGCAAATCTGAATGACTAGCACCCATTTTTTTCACATTTCTTTCTGCTGCCAAGTCTGTATCAAAGTGCTCAAAGTGCATCAACTGTTGTTGCCGCAATATTCCAAAGAATTCCCCGGTGAAGGCCAGGGTAGCCCAAGCCCTGTGTTGCTTTGCCCAACACAGATCCATGGGCATGGACAGAGATTTCTCCCCAGTGAGAAGTGCAGGTCTTAGTGCCACAGAGCCACCCTGGAGTCAGCTCTGCTGAGTCCAGGGGAAGTGCACACCTACTAACAAAATCACTATTGCCTGGGGCTGCAGTGCCAGCAGGGGAACCCTCGCAGCTCTGAGGTGCTCCCAATGCAAAGGGTGTTCACACAGGCTTGGATACACACTGCCTTCCATCCCTGGAGCATCTCCACCACTCTAAGGTAGCAGGGACCAGATGTAAACTGATCCTAACAGTAGTTCTTTCAAGGTAGGGAAATGAAGAAAGGAAACTGCAGTGCACTGTGGGTCCTAATTGCATTTGCTCTGCAGGCTCTGAAATGTCAGTCAAACAAATATGCCACTGCCTTTACTGCTCTGCAGTTGCCATTTACTATTTTACTGGGAAATTGTCCAGGAAAAGGATACTACCTAGAAGGGACCATTATGCTAGCACTGGAAACCAGCAATATTTCTGAACAACCCCATGGGCCCATTATCTGCTCCTACACTGCGGAAAGACAAGAAGAGCCAGAGCGAGCCAATTTGTGTTTGTGGTAGCAATTGCAGCAGTAGAGGGGATGGAAACAGCCCAGGACCCAGCGGGCACATCTGAACCGCTACACGCTCTGGAGCTGTGACAATTCGCACCAGAGAAGAGCATGATTCAGTGAGTGAAGAAGAAAGAAAAAACCATCTTAAAATGTGTTCTTTTATGAGCCTGACTTTCATTATGCAGCTTTATAAGAGTTTATGAGAATTGGAGTAAACAATACGAAGATGCAGAACATGCCCACTCTCCATCAGTCCACAAACCCAGTAATTTCCAGGACATGCAGAGACCATGGGGCAGATGGGTCTTGCTGAGGTGACAAAGCCCCTTTCCCTGGGAACAGCCCCACTAAAACCATCTCTTTTTCTCTGGCAATGCCCCTTGCCCTCCAGAGAGCTAAGTTCCTGCTATAGGCAGCTCCTTGGTACTTAACTACTACTCTCCTAGACTTGGAGTGAGGGATTGAGATATTTAATATTCGGAATCGTTCTGAATCACCCCATTTTACCGCTACTTTATTTCTCCTCCAAGTCAAAAATCATAGCGAAGGGTACAGCCCGCTTCTACTTACTGTAATTCTCTACCCGCTCCCAACAAAGAAACACAGATTTACCTGGACCAGATCCCATTGACTTCTAAGCAAAGTTCAGTCTGTCTGTCTGTCCTTCCCTCTCTTCAGGTAGTTAGTCCCAGAGGGCAATTTCAGACCTATTTATAGATTCGGCCCCTGTGGGCAGGTGAGCAGGGGCCGTGCCTAGCACAGGTGAGGAGGAAACGATCCATTGCCAAAAGAGGCAGCTTCCCCCCACTCTAGAAATCACCTTAGCCAGGAAAATCTTTGCCCTTCACACCAGCACGTGTGAAGGCCTGCCGTTTGCAGAAGGTTCAGCAACCATTTCATTTCTGACATTTTTTCATCGCGTTGTCTCTGGCACTGAAAGCACAAGTAGATCAATGCTCGGTTAAACTCTTGTGTCAGGGCGCCCTGTCCCTGCTACTGGGGCAGCACTAACAAGGCCACAGAGTGTCCTGCAAGCAGGGGACAGGGATGGGGTCACCACCAGCAGTGCTGTGGCTGCTTTTTGGCACAGGGATGGCTGTTCTGCTGTGGGCTAGCAGCTGCATTCTCTGCCTCCCAGGGATGTACACCATGAGCATTTGGTCCTTTCCTAATTCTTTGCATAGTTTTTTTGGCTCTAGGTAAAGTTTCTGCAGATATACAAGCTGAATGAACACTTTTTTTTTTTTTCATTTTAAACAAAACAAGTACTATGTTTTATCACCACTCTCTCTCTGTCTCTCAGATTTGATTTCTTAAATTCACATGGGTTAAGCATTTTCATAAACCATATTGACTGCAGTAAGCTGCATTTGAATCATCATTTAGAGAAGTGAAGATTTAATTTCATGGTGGAATTAAGGTTGACATTTCCTTTTTATTTACACTACACCAAGGATTAATAAGGTTACTATAACCTTAATCTTTGATAGCTCAACAATAGAATACTCCAGGATTACCGCAAAAGCTGGATTTTAACTCTTTTAATCCCATTATTGTTGATAACCTTATCAACACTGTGCTCCACCATAGAGGTGGAGTGGAAGGATCTCAGACTCTGAAGTTCCTTACCATGGAGCAACACTCATAGTTTAAATAGAAGAGCCAGAGACAATTGCTTGGTTGATGCCTGCAGTGAGGTTCACAGTTTGCAGCAGGGCTGCAATGCTGCTTTTAAGCGCCTTGTCAGAGATCTTTGCCAAGAAAAACATTGGTCCAGTGGCATATGTTGGAGGAGCAATGCAAGGTTGCTCTAATTCCCTTACTTTGTTTTTCCCTCCTCCCATGCGACAACTACTCCAAGAATCAGACTGCCAGTCTGGCAAGTTGAGATCCAGAAACTTACTGCTAATTACCATGTTTACAATTCCCAACCTGTCTGTTGGTGCCAACAATCAAACTGCATCCTCTTGAGTGCACCAAAAGACACTTGCTGGCAGTAGTTTCCTAAGGTTCCAGGCTGGCTACATTAATTACTGTTAACTTAATTTTTGCATATTGAAAAGCAGCTTTAATTAGTGATTCCATGGACCAAGATCATCCTTTTATGAGTTTCAAGGAATAGCAGCTCAACTTATAGACTGCTTACCAACCTATGAGCCTTTTATTTGGAAGCGCAAGTGGTAATAAATTTATATGTGGCCTAATAAATAAAGTAGGCAGAGGTTCAGTAAAAATCACACCAGAAAACAAAAGGTTACACCTTCCCTTTGAATTAAAAGGAAGCTCTAAAAAGGAAGGTTGGATATATTTTATCATTCTCAGTAAACATTTGACAGCACAGAATAAGTGTATTCTGAAGGTATATCACTGAATCAAAGTATTTAATGAATTAAAAAATAAGAACCCATGTAGTCTATGAACTCAGTGAAAGAGACCCCAAACTCAAATAACTGCTAGGCAGACCCTGAACAAAGAGGATTCCCTTTGTGCCCTGTGAGTCCCAGCCTGAGACTGCTGAGGGCCACCTGACTACTCAGTTGGGATCCCCTTTTGTTGGGCACATGCCTCAACCTGGCCATGGTCAGCAAAGCACACAGGGCAGTGCAGTACCTGGGAACAGGCTGCCTGCTAAAGGTGTGTGCCTGGGGCCAAGCCTGCAGAGCCCACCCAATGGCCACATTTCCACACACCCCCCCACTCCAAGAAATACATTTCAAGCTGGAATTTTCCATGGCAATGGGATTCAATCTCCAAGATGCTGGCTTTAAAATGTTGGTCTGTTGATATGAGCTGCACCACACCACCTCTCTGAAGATGTTTTTCTCTGTTTGCTGCCTTTCATGGAGCTAAAAGACAGAGAGCAGAGCTAGCCCAAACTCTGCCCAGATGGAGCTTGGCGTTCCTGGGGTGGATGAGCCACTGGCCACAGCACATGGCTGCTTTTGGTCACTCTGGCAGCATGTGGATGCTGGTGCAGCCAATACCTGTCTGTGCTGAGGCTGCAATCAGTCTCATCTCTTAGGGGCAGTTTGGTGTGTCACAAGCATCTGAACATGGACAGTTTTAAGAGGACTCTGCATTCAGAGCAGCACCTGCTTCTAACAACACTGGTCCTACCTGGCTATGTAAAAATAGGCCCAAGTGTCTGATTTTGGGCCCTTTTTTCTAAAAACTTGGTCTAACTGGTGCCCTAACAGTGAGACTGTCTTTTCTGCCCTGCAGCAGATTCTCCACAATCTCATCAAGACCCAAGATACCAGCCAACCTCCCTGCTCTCCTGGCAGTGTTTCACAGGCTGCCAGCCACTGCCAGGCTCCTGCCCTTGCACCACAGTCCTGCTCTGTGAGGTTGCAATGGGCTACTAAGGAAAAGATAACCCAGGGCAAGATTCAGGCGTATGCAAAGCAGTGTGGGGTAGGGGAAATAGAGCCAGAGCAGGGAGTAAGCCAAGGAGACAGACACTAAAATCAACAGGCATTTTAACTTACAGGGGAAGAAGGTAAAGAAAATGAATCAGTGCTCCCAGAGGAGGCAGTCTGAATCTACTCTGATCCTAAAGCAAGAGAGTGGAAACAGGCATTTAAGAGCAGTTCATTTATACAAGGCATACTGAATATACCGAGCAAACTACCAAAGGAAGCAATAAACCTGCGTCTTGGAGAATGGTCTAAAAGGAGTTAGATTGGCACTTTAGAGGAAAGAGATATTTGAGGCTGCAAAAGCAAGCAGCAGTGCACGGAGACACGTGGACATAGCTCACATGGCCCACGGTATTGACGTGTTTTCCCTATCCCAGCCTGCTGAGCTTGATTACTTACATCTTGTGTAACTTACATAGTCTAAAGAGAGTCAGCCAATTTCCACTCAATTTATAATTTAGCAAGCAGAGGAGCTCGATTCTTCTAATTTACATAAAACATACATAAAACTGAAAACAAAATAGCTTTAGAGCATATGGGCAAAGTACACAAGAGCCACGGAGGAAACCAGGAGTGAAGAAGGATATGGAGCAAAAGCACTGTCTGTATTGTGCTTTGCTAAGGGGTTCTGAGTACCTTATTTATGATAAATATCTCACAGACAAGCAAGTCTTTATCATCACAGACATGTGCTGGTGAACAATTGGCACACCAAGATCGTAACGCTGAACGGGGCTTTTTTACTGCACCTTTCTTTTTCTAGGTAAGGAAATATTGTTGAAAACCTTCTGCAACAATATGGCAAGACAGAATCAGTGTGTATGAAGGCAGAACTGCCTTGCTCCCATTCTCCCTTGGACATGTCCTTTTCTCATGAAGAAAGGCAGGGAGCTGTCACCCTGTGGGTAAACCCAAGTCAGCATTCCACTTCCTGGGGAGCTGCAATGGGGCTGCGCTCTTGCGACCATTTCTCCTGCACTCCTCCTCCAGGATTGCCGGGCTCTGGCAGAGCCAGTGAAGGCATTCTCTGAGAGGAGACACCACCTGCCAAGTGTGGAAGCTGGTATTCCTCCCGTGGCATGGTAGGCTCCAAATCGTGCCTCTCCTCTCCATTTGCCTGAGGAGTCATCCTGGGTACTAACAATAGACTCCATGGAGGCTGGTGGAGCTCAGGCTGCCTCACCAACTTCTGTCTGAATTCAGTCATTTCCAGTGAGCAATGTATAAATAGATGCTGCCTCATTATTGATGTATATTGTGCAAAGGGTTTAGCCAGGGATGAAGCTTGCCTGCTTTCCTTTTATGGATGAAAAGCGGGATCCCAGAGCCTTTATGTGAGATGTCTGCACATATCAATCAAACCACACCAGGAGGAAGATTCTCTGCTCTTAGTTCCATGTTAAATGGCAGCCGCGTGGCCACGGGAACAAAATGCATGTATGTGCATGTGTGTATAGGCACATTTACAAATATGCACAACAAAACGAAATGAAAAAATAATTCTAATGGTCGGAGTCTAATTTTTCTATTCCATTTCAAATCCCAAGACCGGACTGCAGTCTGGGCTACTCTGACACAAATCTCATTTGACATCGTTATAAACCACCGATTTACACTAATGGAAGAGTTAGCCTCTGATTTAGGAGGCAGACCTTAGCGGCTGGCCCAAGCCTGAGCCTCGTGGCCCTGCAGCCTGGCTGTAGCGCACTGATACTTGCCGGCTAAATTTGATTGTGAACTCCAGCGAAGGCGAGCTATCGATATTTCAGAAAGCCATTCCTCACACTTCTGAGCAGCAAACGGCCCATCACTAAGAAGGCCAGACCCTTGTCAGCATGAGCTGACTTATATGAAATGAAACACTGACCTCACTGCTAGCTCCAGAGTTAATCTCAGAAGAGAGATTTTATTAGAGAAAGCAGAGCTATTGTTCTGAGCCTCTCTACAGAGCACAAGTTTAATTTTTGCATCCAAAAAATGTGAAATACTTAAAATAGAGTTGCATTTGATAAAAAATAAAACCTGAAAACTCTAGCTAGGTATTGTGTGTGTGTGGATTTGATTTGTTTTCCTTGGATTTCTCATCACTCCCATTCAGCATCCCTTCCTCCACTGGAGTTTTTCCTCCCTCTCTACCAGGGAGGCTGGAGCAGAGTGAGCTGCAGCTCCAGCAAAAGAAAACTAAACATGTCTATGTTCATCTCTAACCAAGGGTCTGGACTGGTCCTGCCTTCTTTTCTGGTAAGAATTTACATAGACAGAAATGACGAGCATCTAAACAAGAGCAAAAGTGAGTGGGTTTAGTTCTTGCTTCCTAGAGCAGGACTTGCAGATCCAGTTTTCATCAAGGGGCTCTTTGAACAACTGAAGGCAAATGGATTTGTGTTATCACATGTGCAACACATGATGGGACAGCCACATGATGTCATAACACAACAAAGGACAGTGAGCAGTCAAAACAAAAAGGATTGTACTGAAACCTTGAAAGTAATTATGTTACTGTGTTCTGCATAACTCAGACCCTGGCAAACATGTGGGGAAAAAGGTGTCTTTCTTAAAAATGGAAAAATCACCACCTCATAAGCTGAAGTCTGAGAAAGTTTCCACTGCTCTCCTCTATAGTTCAAGACCTTCAGAAAAAAAAAAAAAAAGAAGGAAAATAAATGATCCTGACATTTCTAAAATAAAACATGTTGAGAAAGAAAATCCCTTCTATCCCCTCAAATATTTTGCATGTATTGTAAACAAGAAGGCGGACAGAAAGGCAGCAGAGGAAAGTAGAGGAACAAGAAACTATTTTTATCATAGTGGTCATTTTTAACAACCATAGCATCAAGATTGTAGTAAGTGTTGCTCTAGTAGAAGAAGCAAGCAATAAACTATGAAACAGAAGAATGTATCATGGCAAATTGATGAAGAGGTAATATGAAATGCATTTTCTTGGAGTAACCAGGTAAGTTATCTCCTGAAGAATGATTCTTAGAGGAAGAGCTTCCAGATGGTGGGAAGCATTAGTGCATCAAGCCTCCCTGCTCTTACTATTTTCCACCTAAATTAAAGAAATGAAATAAATCCTTAATAATGCAGTAATTAGTGATGCCTTTTTATTTGATTTTTTTATCAGTGTCTTAGTAGGAGAATGTGAATATTTGCACAGCTATTACTATCAGATAATCTAAAAGCAGTCATATGAAATCTACATTATCTATGTAAATGCCTCTGTAAGATGCAGTGAGATGGTTCTTTTTTTGGTAACAGGCTGCACAATTGCATGCTGTACTGTTCTGGTTCAGAATGTTCCTCTTTCTCCAATTAGAGAAGACCAGCCCCATGATGATCACTTTATCTTTTATTTTCAATGTTTTAGAAGATTTGTTTGACCTGTGATCATTAATAAACTTTGTGGTGTTTTCCTGATTTGGTAAGGGAACTTCTAATATTGCAAACAAGGTTATGAATCAGCAATTGTTAATATTAAAGTCTACACTAAAGCTGTATTTTCCCAACATTTCAAGCCTCACACAGTAATGTGAAAGGGGCGTACACTGTGTGCAACTCAGATGAGCTGATACAGAACAACAGGGTGGTGACACCTGACCCAAAAACAGATAAAAGATCTACTTAATCTGCAATACTCTTGAGTAGTTTGGAAAGTGTAGGTTACCTCTTGTGGGCCTAGCCCTTTCTTTCTAGTGGTATAAAGTGCTGAGAAAGTGCTGCTGTTTCAGCCCCATGGAGCTGGGTTGCAACAGTCGGAGCCCTCCCCGGACGGCTCTCCAGCCCTCCCAGGGTGACTACTGCTTGCTGTGTCTTGGCCAAGTTAATTTAACTTCTCCCAGGCAAGGGCTTTCCTGCCTGGAGGTTGCTCTGTTGCTTTATATCATCCCCACTGGCTAGAGGGGTATTGGGTTCACTGGAAGGAAATGTTTCTTGATCGCCATGCTGCATTTTCTCCGTACATAGCTTCTAGGTCTATTTGCACACACCAGGCTACACTGCTTTCCTGCAGACAGGAGAAATTCTGAACCCCCTGAAATCAATGGAAAATTCCCACTGGTTTCTACAGGAAAATGATTTCAAAAGCAGGCTACTAATTTCATTTACCTATATGGGCATTATTATGTAATTTTGGCTAGGTATGTAAAGTCATATATATGTGTGTGTGTGTGTGTGTGTGTGTGTGTGTGTGTGTGTATAAAAATAAATAAATAAATAAATAAATAAATAAATAAATATATATATATATATATATATATATATACACACCACCTTTCAGCTATATATTCAAGGCTCTTATTTTTCCCATCAATCAACCCACTCTAGTTTCTGGAACATTTCACCTAATTTTTTGTTGTCTGTTTATAACTAGATACTGTTTTTCAGTAAGCAGGAAGCAAACTACCAAACTTGTATGACATTCCAGCCCTGGTTTCAACACTTCTGGTGCATACTTCCAGCGCCACACTGCGATGCCTCCTCACCTACAGTCCCTGGTGCCTCACCCTTCCTCTGCCTTCTGACTCTGAAAAGCTGGGTCACATCTACCTTCTACCATCACCTCCTAGACTCTTCTCTTTACCTTCCTCAGGATCCTGTCTGTCCTTTGCAGTCAGACTCTTTCCACCACCTCTATGAATTCTGGCTTGTTTTTTTACTTTTAGACTACTTATTTTTGGACTGTCATTTAAATTTCTTTTGAGTCATTGTTATTATCGAGCCAACATTTATAAATAGCTCTATGCATTGCAGGTATGTGATAATCAAGTCCTTTGATTTTTGAGCAATTTGGTTACTAAATGATAGCAATAAAAAGCATGTAATCATCATGGGCATTAGCCCAGGAAATGTTTCTAGCATTAAAGCTTTCAGGAGGTAGATGATGATTCTGGTAAAAATTTATGGTTCTTAATAATGAGTGTTATGATTTACCTTTACAATACTAAATGGTGAGGTGTCATAACAGCTATGGGTAATACCTGGGGGCGATGCTTTTCAGAAAAATAGTAATCTTTTAAAAGGAAGAGAAGAAAAAGCCTTTTGTGTATGTAAAGACGTGATTTATTTTTAAAAGGGCATAAAAATCCAGTTGTGTACATTACGGCTAGTGTGATGTAAAAAGGCAGAGAAAAATGCTAGTTAGCTTATTCTTACAGCTGCAAAGTGTAGAGCTCTGTGGATATATAGGTATTACTGTTTTCAGTTTCCTCAAGAAAACCCTATGAACACTAGAAGCCACCTAAATTGACACGAAAGACAATAACTTGTTATGGGAAGAAAACACACTTCCTTCAAAATCATATGTAGTCTTCAAAGTAGTAAAAACAGTAAAAAGTAAAAACATCTGCATAACTGTACACATCTACATGCAACACTGTGGGCATTTATTTTAGGCAAATTTGCAGCAGCAAGAGGAATCATAACACAGGTCATAAATACGCACTGCAACAGCATAGCCCCTGCTGAGGTGAGTGGATGTTGTGCCTCTGTCAGGTCTGGGAGAATGGGGCTTCTCTAGCTCTAGTCCCTCTTCAGAGAGGGGTTCCTGTATGTAGATATGTATATTTATTCCATTCAAAGATATAAACATATTTAAGGGCTTTAGTTTTAAATATTTCTGGAAAGAGCACCTGAAGTCCAATGGCAGTCCCTACCACTTAATTTAGGGTACTGCTAAGCAGAGAAACGCTTCACACTATGGGCAGACCCAGGCAGGGCTGTGGCCCTGCCTGCACAGGACAGTAGGGACCAAAACCACTCTTTGTTCTCCCTCTCCCACCACAGGGCACGATGTGCCATTGTGCTGGAGGACACAGCCCTTTGGGCAGCTCCCCGCTCCAGGAAGGCCCCAGCAGGGTGAGGGACAGCCAGTATCACAGTGTCACCTGCTCTGCACCAGGACCATGCCACACCAGCGTCTGCTCTGCCATCGAGTGCCTGTGCCACTCTGGGGGCCCTGGCGTGACAATGACTTACCTATGGCAGCAGCCTTCGAGGCTACTCCAGCGGAGAAAATTACCCAGAGATATAAATCTTCATAGGATTATGGCCTTTAAAGACAAGGCTAAGTTCAAGTAATTATTTTTGGGGTAATTTTTTAATTCAATTTTCTACCAGGATGCAAAACCCATTTCAAAGCAGAAATTTAGCATTCTGAATTAATTAAATATGCCCTCACCAAAGTAGCTGTTAATGCACATTTGGTGCTGCCACAAACCTCATTCTAAAATGTCCTAGGAAATGCTCATACTGGCACAATTAAACCCCTTTATTTATAAAGTAATTTCTTACTGTGTTCCACTATAAACTTTTAGTGTAATTTTTGCCAACAATGAAACATCATTAGACTACTAGAGGCAGGGAGGTTTTAGAGTTATTTTTTAGCACACAGGATTCGCAATTTCTAAAGCAAAGTAGGAAGTGTAGCATTGTAAAAAATGTCTTTCACTAGGGGTCTAGTCTTTCCCACAGTGAAATCAATTGGGACTTTGCATTGGATACCAGGATTTGGCCCTAAATATTTTGGATGTAACATGAGCAAGCCTGCTTTCCTGAGCAGTCCTGTGGAAGCTACGTGCATTGCCACGATCAGATCCATAGCATGAATAGTCACTACTTGGAGGTCACTTATTCAGAAATGACCCCTTCTGTCCTTCAATGTATATATGTGACAGACCCCTGGAACTGCTAATAAATGGGGGGAGTCTCTCTGAGATCATGTTATAGGGAAACATCATCCAAGAGTCCACACTGAGCATTTACATAACATTCTAGAATCATTTTGGTGAGCATATCCAGTGTTTCTCCAACCGGATCTTATACTTCCGCTCTTTTAACCCACATAGCATAGCAATTCCCAAAAGATTTTAGAGAAATCTACAATCATCAAAATGTTAATTTTGACAATGACAAAGAGTACATGCATTAAAAATGCA